ATAATAATAGAAAGTACAAGTATAAACGTGTATTATTTGTGACATGTCTTCTCTACTGTTGATGTGTTTTATACTGCACGTTTATAGCCTATATTATTTGCTGTTTCTTTTATTCAAATGTAATTGTGTCAATACTTTATTGATTATACTTTATTCACCAGACACACACCCCCGTTGCCAGATCGTACTTTGCCTTCATGCTAGTCTTTCACGCGTTTGTTACCAGATTGCCTACCCGGTTCCGACCCTGCCTGGCCCTGACCTGCCTGCTCTGCCTGATCCCTGATCCTGCCTGTCCTTGGACTATCCTGCCTTGCCTGCTCCCTGACCCTGCCTGTACCTACGTTGACCGCCTCGCCTGCTCCCTGACCCTCTGCCCGGCCCTGACTCACCTTCTGCCCGCTGTCCTCTGATACTGTTCTGCTGATATCCCTCTGCTCTGGTATTATTACCCATTACCAATACTCCTTGGTTTCTCAAGTGCTGCATTTGGGTCCTTCATAAGATTGTGACAGCTAACATAAGAATTTCCCAATTTGGGATAGTTAAAGTATCTATCTGGTATAAAGCAATGTTAGGGTATCTATTACCTCTTGTAAACCACAATGTTTTGGTATACAAGTTATGTATGTTGATTTTGATTACAGTGAGAAGCAGAGATGGCGACACCTGTTGTCCTCCGCATCGTAAATCCCCAAGCTCCAGGGGATCGACAACAGGCTGTTGTGGTGCCTACCAAAGAGGCCCGTTTGTACAGGGAAAAGAGAAAGGCTTTTCCCACACCTCCGGTGGAGCTGCTCAGCAAGGCCACTGCCATGGCCAAAGCGGAGAAGCTCCTTCGAGCCAAAGGGACACATAAGCCCTCACGCCAGCAGTGCCTGGGAAAGCTGGTCTTGCCTTTTGGCCAATATATCCACGCACCCTTTCACTGGCTAGTGGAGAATGACGTGGGCTACATCACATTGTAAGTTTAATACAATTGTTTGCTAAGCGTTTATATAACTTGTGTTTATGGCTATTATAAAAGTGTAGTATTCATCTTTACAAAGTTCCTTTTCTCCTCATCACAATTGCAGTGCTTTTATGACGATGACACTAAATTGATGTTTATTATTGCAGTCTCCTCGATAGGCACAAGGGAGAAGTGGAGGACCCACACCGGAAGGGAGAAGTGGGGAACCGGTGGGTCAAAGACCTTCTGGCCGAATATGCCGAGAGCTTCCCTCAAGTCTCCTGTCTCCTCGAGGCCAATGTGGATAGGTGGATCTACGGCCAAAAGGGCTTTGAGAACAGCACCTTTGCAGAGATGTGGGAACTCTATCGGCAATTCCAAAGCCAAAAGGACAGTCCTGAGAAAAGCAGCGGTGTTCAGAGGGAAAGGGTAGCCGCCGCACATAGGTCTGTGAGGAAGTGGTTGCGCCTACCAGTGACAGACATCACCAGCGTGCAGTTAAAGAGGTTCCGCACCTACATAATGGACAAGTACAGTAGTGCTGAACAAGTAAGTGTTTACTTGATTATTCCTGTGTTATCACACAGGAAGAGTTGAAAATCATGGTCACATCATACTGTCATATCAATATTTTGGTCATTAAAAACTGGCATCAAATTAGGATAACATTACATTTGTTTTCACTAACCTCAGACGAGTACGCTGGACTCATCCTCGTGGCCAGGGGATGATGCCGAGCTGGTAGCTGCGAGCCAGGCTGTGGAAGAAGGCAAGTGAGACACAGTTGAAGTTATGAAGGAAAACATGTTCAAAAATAATAATCCTAATTCAAATGTGCTTTGTTTGGTACATTTTTAGATATGATCAAGAAAAGGCCCAAAGCAACTGCTTACCGACCTGGAGGCACTGCTGTCGGGCTCGAAGCTGCTGCTCTCCTTCCTGATGTGTCTGTCCAGCCTGAAACTACTGCCGCCACCCGGCCTGCTGCTGCTGCTGCTGCCGCCGCCGCCCGGCCTGCTGCAAAAAAACATACATCTGGTTATAAAACCTCAGCTGGCCATCCCCGAAAAACAAAGGTCACTCCTGTGCGGCCTGAAGATGTTGCTACTGCTGCTGCTGTCCAGCCTGCTCCTGCTGTCCAGCCTGCTTCTGCTGCTGTGAAGGCAAATAAGCAAACATCAAGGCACAAAACCTCTGCTAGCCATCATCCAAAAACCCCGGAAGTCACTCCTGTGCAGCCTGCAGCCCCTGTTGACCCAGATATGTCCCCTTCCACATCCACGGCTTGTGACCTTCCGATGGCATCTCACCCGAGTGACGCAGAAGTAAAGATAGATGTACTAGTGGAAAATTGCTTAATTAAATAATGTTACACCATAACTTCTTACCCTATAAGTCTCTAATGTATTCTATGTTATGCGTGTTACAGGTCGATCTAGAGGGCTGGGTGCGTTTGTGGGAGAACCCTGGTGGCATCCCATCTGCCGACATATCCTGGCTCAAAGAGGACACAGAGAGAGGGCTGTTTACCCCCATACAGACCTACAAGGACATCAAAGGTCAGATCAAGAGGCGACGGGTGATGAAATCTGACCGTATGTGGTTTTATCCCCCGGAACCTCCTGGCTTTGTCGGGGGTGGTCTTCCTACTCCACAACTGTTCTTTAGGAGCTGGGTCTTTGTGTGGCGCCCTGTCGGCGTGTGGAGGTACTCGCTGAAGTGTCCGCGGGGAGAAAACTGTGTCGGCAGTGGGAGAAATGTGCACCTCTCCAAGTCTGGCTTCCACTCCAAGGTCTAAATTCTCTGACATTACTATACAGTTGAAAATGTGTTTCTATGTATGAAATGGGCACTGAAAGTTTTATGCTGGCCTTCATTTTGATTTCCATGTGTATTTTATAGGTACGTCTCATCTGCGATGTGTCCGGCTGGTACACAGTGATCACAGAGGTCCTGTCCTGTGGACCCTGTACCAAGGCAGCCAGGAGCAAAGAGAGTGTGTCAGTGGGCCGGTGGCTTGCGTGGGATAACGCCATCCTATCCCAGCTCAGCGAGGCTCACCAAGCCATCTTTCCTGCCGTCCTTACCACCATGTGTGTATTTCACATTCTATACCAAACTATACTATAACATGCTATAATGTGTGCATTTAAAAAAAAAGTCACTCAAATCAACCTTACAATATTAATTGTGACTCTACTTACAGGCGTGGCGTAGACAGGAATGTCGTGCACCTTCTGAGGGACAGGACCGAAGGGAACACTATGGAGAAGGTGTGGCGGCAGGTACAGGAGAACCATGTTGAGGAGTACCTCCATCGCAAGGACCTGTACACCACCCTCCTAATGAGCATAGCTGCACCCGGAGGGATCGTCTCTGCAATGAGGCAGACATTCCAGGCTCCACCTGCCCAAAAACAGCTCCCCACAGCGCGGCTCTTGCGCCATGCCTTCCTGCTGGCAGAGGCGAACAATGTGCAGGATTACCGGAGCCAGATCTTCTCCACTTTTGGCACGGTGATGAAGATGGATTCCACCAAGAATGTAAATCAAAACATAATTCTTTACTGTATGATGCAAATCATATACAATTATCACACAAATGATGATGTTGTTACATATAATTACAATCTATCACAAGTTACCACATTGTGCTTCCTTTAAATAATAATAATAATTCAATTATTTTAAATACATTTCAGATGGTGAAGAAGCTGTCTGGGCAGGGACGTGGCTCGGCCGAGTGGTTTACCAGCATCGGCAACAAGTACTCCCAGATTGTCACTTTTGTGCTGACTTGTGAGGAGTCTGCACAGAAGCTGCTACCCATGTGCCGTGGATTCATGGATAGGTTCCGGCTGGCCAATCAACCGGTCCCTAAGATCCTGTACATTGACCGTGGGTGTTGTCGTGCTAAGGGCCCTACCGCCGTGGAGACAATGTTCCAGGAGTGGTTCGACGGTGGTATGGTTGTGCGCCTGGACATCTTTCACTGGATCCACCGGACGCAGCTATCCGAACAGACGCGCACAGCAAGTACGCCATGTTCAAGTCCGCTCTGGCCGGGGCAGTGTTGGCCTACAACCGCACCGATCTGGAGCTGCTAATCGAGGCCGTCAGAGCCAAGGACCCGGACACATTCAGGTCTGTGTCGGAACAGGATGTCGTCCGCCTGTACGTCACCAGGGATCAGTTGCAACACCACGTGCGGAGGGTCACGCTCGGAGCGCAGCAAACATTCCGGCTCATCCACCTGGCCATCGAGGAGCTGAAGGGCCCGGCTGGGCTGGACCAGAGTGGAGTGAAAAACACCTGGTATATACAAGATCTCGTACAAAAACATTATTGCAGCTTCAATACAGATGATGTAGCATATAAAGTGAGAATAACAAACTATATGTATATTTGCCTTTACAGCAGCCATTGATGAGATGTGGGTAGCGCACACTGTAAAAATATCCACCGTGAATTCACAATAATTACCTGGCAACTTGTTGCATGACTTTCACAGTAAGGTTCACAGCAATTTACTGTGAATGTCTTCACAGCAATGTATTGTAATTTCACATCCATGATATTACAATGCATTGTTGTAAAGGTACAACTGTATACTGTAACTTCACAGCTTCAATTACTGTGATATTACAGTATGTTACTGGGGAATTACATCATTTTGTTGTACATTAATTACAACAAGGGCCTGTACTTTTACATTTCTATTGTGAAAGTACTGCAGGAGTAGCCAGTAATTTACTGTGAATTTACAATGTGTACTGTGAAAGTACTGCAGGAGTAGCCAGTAATTTACTGTGAATTTACAATGTGTACTGTGAAAGTACTGCAAGAGTAGCCAGTAATTTACAATGATACACGTGCATAACTGTAATTCCCAGCTCCAGTACTTCCTGGAGGAAGCTCATACAATGGTTTCCTGTCCAAGTTTAACAGGAAACCAAAGTGTGAGCTTCCTCCTGGAAGTACTGGAGCTGCACTATAAAAATGCACGTAATGTTATTGTACAATTAAAAACAACACACCAAACGCACAAATGAGGTAAAATCAATGGAAGCCCACTGGCATATTTATTGACAAAATAAACAACAGAGTAAACAAACAGGAACATGAACTAGTTCACCTCAACTATCCATAAAAAACAGATGAACCCTTAACGGATCCTTTAAACAAATAATCCCTCGCAGGTGAACTGACCGTAATGCTTCCCACTAAACTTGTCCCCGCACACCATGCAGTCTATGCAGACCATTCCAAGTCTATCAGCTTCCGGTGAAGGGTGCTCACGTGAGGGTTAATGGAGCTTCGCTTCTTTGCCTTGGAGCCTTTCTCCGGGTTGATGCCCAAGAAGCATCTGTTAATAAGCAAAGATAAGTTTCAGTTTTAAATACACTCATGTATTGCAGGCAGCATTTATCAAGGTGTTCACCTGTGTCTTTTCCCACACCGACTGTTACTAGTACAAACCTGTTGGATCATCCTCTCACAATAACATTATTTGTAGCCTAGCAGAGTGCCTCAGGTACCTCTAACATAAGGTTTACTTACTTATCTGAATTTTGAAGCCATACTATATTGTGAATTAAACCATTATGTCAATTTTTTAACAAGCTAGCCCAGCAACATCAAGTGATGGTGTGGTCCCAATTCGCATATTTGGTTCCAGGCTTCATACTCAAAGCATTTAATCTACTTTATAGCCTCTGTAGAAAGGCATGGACTTAATAGCAAGATAGTGAAACACAAATTTGCATGACAAGTCTTACTGATGACATTGATCATGTGTTTGAGTGTTACAATACCTTTGGATGAACTCCAGTGTGCATGATCCAACGGGATATTTGAGGTTGAAGACATAGTAGGTGCTGAATAAAGCAGCTACCCCATGCAAAAAAAATGGGTGTGGGCCCATTACCACTTGTCCCTCGATGGATAGCATCCACCCAGAAGGCTTCATTGTGTCACCTGAAATGAACAGATACCCCGTCATGCGTTATTGTGGATAGGTACATTCCTAGAATCAATCAAAAATAATACTTGAGCTAGAGATGTCAATACCAGATCCGAGTAACATTCATGATTGGCCAAGGACGAAAAAGCAGGAAAATATACAGTGCAGAGCATGCAAGGACATGACACAGAACCCTCCAGGTGGACAGCACTTTTCTACTCCACCATCAGTGAGGTAGGCTACTTAACAGTCACTGTAAAAGCATCAAAGGTGTTTGTGCAGATAGGAGAATCTGGCTGAACGACAAAGCAACTCCCTAGCCCTCCTCCCTCTGCCTTTATGGATAGACGGTTTAACCTCATTCCTCTATGGGTAGATGGTTACGAGCCCAGCTAGAACGAGAACATGTCAACTCGTCAGACCCCTGAATCATTGAAACAGGCTATAGATTTTAACTAACGCGAATCGCTGAAACATATGGCGTCAGAGTATCGTAAGTGTCGTTTCACAGACTGGACTTTAATGGAGTGCAGGAGAGATGGAAGGCCTTCAGTCAGATTCTCCCCTTGATGCAAAGGAACACTTAAGCTCTTTAGAGTAACTATTCAGTATCCTATACCTCATCGATGGTGGAGCAGAACAGGGATGTCCTAAGAGAAATTATATAACTAGAATAAAAGCAGCAGTGAAGTCTAGCCATTCAGGTCAGAAAAGCAGGAAATCCTGTATAAACAGGAACAATCCCATCCCTGAACATTACATTACCTTGAATGATCAAGCAGGGGGTGCTTGGGAGTGCTGCAGTATTCACTACATCAGCAGCAGTGGCACAGGTCTGTAACAAAGTAACACACAATAGCATAGATTTAACATTATGCAAGGATGAAGATCGTTCATTGGTCAGAGGTAAATCAGAACATAATAAATGGTCTAATAATAATAATAATAATAATAATTACTTGCATTTATATAGCGCTTTTCAAGACACCCAAAGCGCTTACAAATGGACGTCCGCAAACCAATGTGTAGCCCCCGCCTGGGTGATGCTAAGGCAACAGCTAATCCGCGCACTACAGCTCAACACAGATCAGCTCGGCCCATTTGGAGCAACTTGGGGGTTAAGTGTCTTGCTCAAGGACACTTCCGACATGCGGACAGTCAGAGCCAGGATTCGAACCACCAACCCTACGGTCGATGAACGACCAGCTCTACCAACTGAGCTTCAGTTGCCCCTAATGTAATCACTCGTTTAGCATTTTAAATATTTAAATAAATTAAAAAAAACTTACATCAACTTCGAGCATCAGTTTCTCCGTAGGCTCCTTAAAGTAGACCATAAGGAGCTGGAGGATGCAGGCAGCCTTCTCCGAACCCTCTGGATCATAGCTGGCCAGAAATTCCCTGATCTTCGGGTTGTCCAGTTTCTGACAGAAATGCAGGATGGTCTGTCCTCTCTGACCCAGGGCCTCTTGGAGCTTCTGAAGTATGTTGACGTCCGTCAGGATGCCAAAGTGGGAGAAAAGGCCTCTCTGAGAAAAGAGAAAAGGCCATTCCTCTTTGACCTCAAACATCGCTGGTGCAGGCATTCCGTTGAGGTACCTCCGCAGGATGATGTAGGTCCTCACCATCAGAGGTTCTGCTCTCTCTGCCCCACCCATCCCTTCCTCTGTGTACAGACATACAAATACATGTTTGAGAGTACCCAAGTAACAACAATTAAATTCAATGTCCCCACCTCTGGGACATTTTGAGTGTCAAACCTTTAATTTCATGCTCTCATCATTACTCATTCTGAATATTAAGGTGGCCTTTTTGCTTAATGTGGGATGTTTATTCAGGTGTCAATTCACCAAAAATAAGGTAGATTGCATGCCTGAGTAGATCTTCCGCAGATCCCTTTTTCGAATCCTCCAACGTTGCCTCGGTCTCCCCCTCTGGTAACTCTGCTGGGCACCAACTCACACACCTAGGGATAGGAATCATAGGTTAAATCAATACTATTGGGGCCGATCATTTGGACTGGTTTTGGAGTGGGAACATTTCAATTATCATGACAGTTACACTGACGGCGATTATACAAAATCTACACATAATTTAAACATTCAATTCAAATAACCTAAGTTAGTCTAGCATGGCGGTGCCCCTTTAACCCCTGTGCCTTGCATGGTTGCTGATCGCCATTAGTGTGTGAGTGTGAATGGAGAGGACACTGCCACTGTATGTTCGCCGCTTCTCAGTGTGTGAATGAGAAGACCATTGTAAAGCACTGGGTGTCCTGAAAAGAGCTATGTAAATGCAAGGAATTATTATTACTGTAATCTTCAAAACCTTCAACGTACAATAATTGCAATATCTATATTTTGTCCACCCCTACACATACCCGTATTGGTCGACAGGACCTCTCGTCAGTCTGGACTCTCCTGCTACTCCAGTGTTCCTTCTTCCCTCTCGGCTTCGTCGGCGTCGAGCCAGAGTGTTGTTCCTAGTTTTATATTCCACTCTAGTTTTAACTTGTTGGAGAAGAGAGGGGCATTTTACATAACATGTAAGGTTATGTAAAAAAAGGGTTTCGTTCACAACTAATGGCACTTCTGGTTCATCATCATGTTCACCAGCAGCTTCTGAAGATGACTGAATGGGTTCTGGCAATGACTCTGTAGTAATAGACTTGTCTAGTACCAAGTCATCTAAAACTGAATCCTCTGCACGCCTATGTTTCCTGTTAATATGTGAAGCAAAAGTCATCACGTTTGTGAACCTGCAATCACAACCTCTAAATGGGCATTTAGTTTCCATTCCTCCCCTTACGTGTGTCTTCAAATGCTTAATAAGAGAGGCTAAAGTGTCACACTTAAATGCACAAGCCTCAAGCACACATTTCAAGGATGTGTCAGGTGGTAGAGCTGATATGTCAGGCGGTATAGGCCGAGCAGCTTGCAGGTAGCACTTATGCAGCCTATATATATGCGATTTCAGTGCTGTGTGTTTTCTGTACCTCCGTGAGCAATCAGACACCCCACACTGATAGTGAAAATTGGGGGCATTACTGTGCAGCTTTGTGTGCTGAACAAAGTTATGCACCTTCTCAGACACATGCTGACATCCAATATATTTACAGTGGAACATTGTTGTGCGTGGTAACTAGTTACCTACCCAAACATAATTCAATCTGCCTGACACTGAACAGGACGGTTAGCCTGGCTGCCTGACACTGAAGAGGATGGTTGGCCTCTCTGATGACCTAGAAAAAAGGAGACCAGAGAAAGGAGAAATTACAAAGGCAACCAACAAAAGGAATTTTTCAGTTTGCATGCAGATTATGAACATGAGCATGTTGTAAAGGTGTTCAAGGTCAGGTAGTCGAGCATCCCATTTAGACGAGACAGCAGTCACACAATCATATCGAAATGTTAACTACCTTAGCTGCAACAACACTCGAACAGTCACTAGCAATTTCCTCGAGGATGGCGCACGCACACCAGGATCACGAGGATGTCAAATCTGGAATAGAGGCAGTAAAAAACCACCACAGGGAAGCAAGAGAGGTAAGCTCACATAAATGTACTGTCAAACAGTATTGGATGAAGTGATTAATCTCAGGTGTGCTGCACAGGTAACAAATGTCTGAGCTTCAGTACTTCATGGAGGGAAGCACTGGAGCTGGGGACTGCAGTTATGCACAGTCTATAAACTACGGTCTGTGTTGCATACTAGGCCTACCTCCAACTAGGAAGCAATCCGTGGATTGGATTTAGGCAATACACCTCGTCGCGTCGGTCAACACCAGGCAGGCAATCAGTAGGCCTAGAGCAAGATACAAGATCTGTTTATTCGCCATGTAGTTTTACAACATACTAGAAATGTGTTGCTGGTAGGTACTGACATAAAGACAACATTGGACAGGGTGCAGGGACAAGACAGGACAAGTGCAAAACAGGACAGTGTACAAAATGCAGGTAAAAGTAGAAGCTAATTTAGGCTAGAATAGTATAGAAGTAAAATAAGATTTAAAAAAATTGTGTTTTCAGAGAAATAACATTACGCATTGCAATAACCTATAAACATTTCAAACCTATAAACATTGCGAATCTGTAAACATTGTGAAGAGGCAAGAGAGTTTGGTAATCCTTTATCATCCAGAGTAGTGTTGATGAAAGTATTGAGTGATTGAAACTTTGCTCGCCACAGGGTGGCGTCTGTAACGCACATATTAACATAGATACGCTCCTCTGAAATGATTGTCCCCTGCAATTATTATTATCCCTCAATCGAGATCGCTATTCAGCTAGCTAACGTTAGCTTAAACAAACGTAACATGCAACGTTAGCCTAATCTAAAATGCTCTACTACGGCGTACCTTTCATGTGGCTCGTCAGCGCAGACTCTCGCATCGTTATGTTTGCAAACTTTGCAGGAGGCTACTCGTGGGCTTGACCCTCGTCTTAGCCATGGCTTGTATTTGTCTTCTGCTAGCCAACGCTCATTGAAACTGCAACCTCCTGGCACACAGTCATCTATCACTCTCATCAGAATGCCCAGGTCACACGTGACGTAAAACAAACACTTGCAGGTCGCGGGCATAGCATAGCATAGCATAGCGCGGGAAGTCCGCAGCGGAGCTGTTTTATGTAGAAGCGAAGCAATTCTTTTCTTTTAATCTAAAAAGCGAACTATTCAGTCAGACAGCAATTTATTGTAAAAGTAAAGCATTTACATTTTCAAGCACTTTCCTAACCTTGAAAACAACACGTCAAATGTCAAGCATTTTCAAGGATTTCAAGCACCCGTACGAACCCTGAGTAGTACAGTTAAAACCTTAACGATCCGAATAATCGATGAATCGATAGATTAATCGATTATCAAATTAGTCGTGTGTTGCAGCCCTAGTGATGACACGTGGTGACACCAATGTGCAATAGGGTCTGTGACGAATTCATTAAGAACATTGTAAGAGCAACTAACGTTACCAACTTTGACACCGATTTAGATTAGGTCTAATTTGATTAGACAATGTCATGAAACCACCAAGCACCTAGTACAAGAAACATTCATTAGCTAGATAACATCAGCTAACCTACTAGTAAGTTAGTTAGACCATGGCGTCAGAATTCAAACTTAGCAGCAATGCTAAGCTAACTAGCTTATACCAATGGCAATTATACCAGTCTTACCGGTTAAAGTATTCATTGTTCGCTCTTTCATTCGAATACAGCATAAGCCTTCTGCCAACAAATGGAACAGTCAGCAACAGTTGGCTGGCTAGCACCAGAGCCATCTACCATAGCCATATACGGCGCTGGCTAGCACTAGCTAGGCTAACGTTAAGGCCACCTGCTTGAAGGTGGACATGGCTGCTACCAAGCTAATGTTACTAGCTAACGCTAGCTATCTATTCGCTACCATGTACAAACCAACACGACACTACTCCACTGGCGTTCACAATCGAAAGCACATAATATCCACCACTAATCCACATTATGGGCAGTACTTACTTGCTGTTTACCGATGGTAACCGCTTTGGAGAAACTCACAGATGTTCACCTTGACTGTTGCCTCCGTGCGAATTTTCGAAAGGATCGAGGCATCTCTGTTAGGAGGCTTTGGGTTCCTCAATGCGCGATATGATTGGCCGTTCGAGCGATGACGTTCCGTTTCGTCCCTTCAAACGTGACACCTACGGTTAACAGGCAAACCAGTGGACAAATACCCAGAAATGACGTTTTTTCTGGCGTGTATGTCACGTGATCTTCAACTTTCGCAGCAGAATAAAATAAATAAAAATATATCAGCAATTAAACAACATATTCCATTTCTTTTCACACAATACGTCTCCTTTCAGTATCAACACTAATTCGGCTGACTTATATATTTGATCCAATTGGTAGATAGGGACACCTAGTGGTTAAAGCACGTTATTGAAATGTTTTGTTGAATAATCTTTAATCTTTAATAACCTGACTTTGGAAAGGGCTGGAAATATACTTTTTTCACCAGGGGCCTCTAAATAGGGCCCAGATAAGAAATATGAAATATGGGAACCGTAACTCACCCAGACATTTTTTTTTCAATCTAATGTCAAACTCTCACAAAATCCTGTCTAGAGCTAAGGATTGGACACCCTTTGGTGAGGGAGGGAGAGAACATTGAAAAAAATTGAAAAAAGGTGCTTGGCGCTTCGAGACTTTGAGAGTGTGTTGCTTCACTTGTGTGGAACCCGCTTGCAAAATTTGGGGCCGTGGTGACCTTCAACCAAGTCTCAAACTAAGGTTAAAGGTCATGTTTTCATGGCTCTCAGTACTCTAGACGGCACAAAGGAAGGTCCGACAGCTTTGAGCTTGGTGTCGTTGGAATCGCCTCGAAGAGTACATGCAGATTCATCCCTCTGCTGCTCCGAATGTCAAACGTTACGGCTTAAAACGGGACAAAGCCTTCCATTATGCCGCTTTCACTCTCGCTCTTGTGGTGACAGAGCACGCCAATTTTCCCGCATGCTAGGCAGACAAGAGTATTCTAGTTAGCTTTGGTTTGATGTGAAGATGTGATTTGATGTGTCGTTTGTCCCCCAACTCCTCTCCAAAGTTGAGATATGTAATAAAATACTCAGGGGAGTTTCCTGAATTTTCATGCCGAAAGCCAAGCACTAGGCCCTGGGTAAATTAAGACGCTGATTTGGGGCACTTTTTCCACTTTCCCTGGTGCTAGAAACTCAAGTCAGGCATCCCTGGAATCGTTGTAAAAATACATTTCTAGCTAAACGTAATTGAGAATGCAGTTTAGTTCTGTGGGAACGTAATTTTTAGGAGACAGGGTTGCCAGGACACACGCCGATTAGAATAGTCTATTCTGCACATGTGCAATAGTGCACAATTCAAATTTTACAGTAATGAGTTGTGCTCTTTATATACAGTCTATCATGGTTGTGCTAAGATGATTTTGAGTACAGTGCTTTACTGTGAAATAATAGTTAAATAAGGTGAAATCCAATTCTACTGTTTTATAGATATTTTGTTGTGATATTACAGGGGCTTTTGATTACAATATTTCTCTGTAATATGATACTCTTAAATGCTGTGAAATCCTTGCAATTTTTACAATGTTGTTGTGATATTACAACATTTGATGTGATATTACAGAGGATTTTGATTGCAGTATTTTATTGTGAAATAATAGTTAAATGCTGTGAAATCACAAGGATACAGTCCTTTTTACATGTATTTGTTGGGATATTACAGGGGGCCTTGATTACAATATGTCACTGTAAAATAATACTGTTAAATGTTGTGAAATGCTGGTAATTGTTTACAGTGCAGCAAAGACACCTGGAGTGCATCCAGGATCCACCAGGGATGATTATGTATAGGGTGGCCCGTACCACAACTATCAACGGTGTGGACCTGCCCTACTATAAAAGTCTGCGTGGAAGCAACAGCCTGGAGGGATTCCACAAGTCTCTGCCTCACATGATCCCAGGTACACAAGTAGTACACAATATACACGTCTAATAATAAAAAGCACAATTTCAAAAAGCGTATGAACAGGAAAGCAGTTGGAATTAAAAGCAAATTAATCTTCTTGAAATAGAACATGTCAAATAGGAGAACATTAATCATTTCAATTGGCCTATGCATACAAATATGGTACGCTTCAAAATTGTGCTACGTGTTATTCCAGGTTGCAGATAAGCATTTCCCAAGCTCAGTAATAACCAAAATATCTAAGCTGATCTGCAGATGTCACACGTTGCCTGCCCATCTCTTTTCTTTTTTGTTGCGTCTAATGATGGATTTGGTGTAAACACTAACATTTACACAACAATAAAAGCTTTCCGTGACTCTGTCCTCCTCTTCTCAGGTCCCCATTTTGCAGCACGGCCGTATCAGGTTTACCTGATCAGTGGCATCGCACGGTGGAACTGCGACAGGAGCTCCGATGCCGTGTTTGGTGGCAAGGGACGGCATCACAGGACCTACTCGGCGCCTCTCATCCACCGCCTCAACACCCGCTGTCAGCAGCTGTTCGGAGAGACTGTGGAGGAGAATTTCCGGGCCCCCGCTGAGGTGGATTCCAACGAGCTGCTGGGGTTGGAGTACCTTTTCAGCCAGAGCACTGGTGAATCTGGGACCTTTTCACTGGAGGACATCCTCCACGATGGCCCCGGTCCAGATGAGGAGGTAGTTCAGCCCGGGCAGCACACTCCAGATGCCGAGGCAGACGAGGCGTACCAGAGCGACGGGGAGTCACATTGTGAGGGAGACCATGTGCTGGATGCCATCCTGCCCCACATCACATTCATCACAGACGAAACCTCCAGTGTCAACCCGCCCGCTTTTGTAAGTTACTTGGTGTCTTCTAGAATGAAATTAAAATGCACTGATTGATGGGCAATGTACCCATTTCAAGTTACCACATTTTCTATGTCATTTCTTTAACAGGAGGATGCCTGCAGTCAAAACCCTCTTCCCGGCTACCCACAGTTGGAGAGGTTCTGCTCACTGCTGGTGGACATTGGGCTCGTAGGTGACAAGCTGTCCCTTGTCAGCGAGCAGAGGAACGCGATCCTGGCTGCCTGGACCAAAGTGGAGGACCACGACAAACGGCAGCAGCAGTTCAACGAGTTGTACAGGACGCACTGGGGCAACACCCTGTACTGCCGCACTAAGCGCCACAACCTCGTTGATGTTGCTGTCATACAGCGTGTAAAAATGGGCATACGCTATGCACCGGCACAGCAAGACATTAGCGCGCAGAACAATAGGCTGATGTACACGTTGGTCAAACTGCTGTGGCTGAGGTCGCCGCAGGGTTCGCGCACGAGCCCCGAGAAGACCACCGTCTTAAAGGCGTACGAGAGGATCCAGCACCGGGTTTTGGTGGACGACCCGATCCTCTGCAAAGCTGGCTTTCCTCTGCCGAAGATCAACGTCAAGACGGTGCGGGACTTCATCCGGGCTCAAGAGCGCCTCCTCAACCTGCGTGCGACAGATCAGCCGGCGATGTTGTCCAAGACCACTTCAGTTTCCTCTGCCGACTTGCCTCCAGCCCCACACCAGCCAGCAGTCCTCCCTCCACCAGACTACCCCCTGATGCAGTATGTGCCGACACCCAGTACGGCAGGGACAAAATTGTTGAAGGGAAGGAGGGACATGATCCTGCCTCTGTCACATCCTCAGACATCACTGCCGCCACCTGTGTCACTGCCACGGCCACGGTCGGTAACACCGACCCCAGCCCCCAGACCTTTGCCCTCCCCCTCTCCATCTGCAGCAACCCGGGCGATTGCTGGCCCCTCCACAAGGCCCATCGTGCCTGCTGGACGTCCCATACTGCCTGCCACAAGTACCGTCGCCAGACCACCCGTGCCCTCCCTTTTCCCTGGCCCCATCCTGCCGCCTGCCAGTCAGCCAACCCCAGCCATTGCTGGCCCCTCCTCAATGCCTGCCACACAGGCTGGTCTGGGTGCGTCCGTCCCCCCGACAATGACAATGCCTACCGAGTGCAGTCCTGCATCCTGGGCGAGGTCCACGCTATTCAAGCGCAAGGCGACAGACGAGCCCTCGGGAGTAGGAGCCAAAGTGTCCCGGGTTCAAAAGCTGCCGTCGTGCACGTGCTGTGGCCAACCCACCCAGGGGCATAACAAGTACAGGCGCAAGGTCTTCTGCCCTGTGAAGATGATGTCTTCTTCAAAGGGTCTGGAGAAGAACACAGTGTACAACAGTTCCAAACATTTTACAGCTGTTGTTGACGCTTTGGAGCTATGACCTGTTGCTATGTAAATATTGTAAATAGTCATTTAAATGTTTTTAAACTTGCTGTGTTATCATTTTTATTTTTCATGTTGAGTTTTATATTTTTTATGTATATTGTAAATACTTTTCATTTATATATACGTCATTAATGTAAATACTTTTATGTACATTACATGTTACTTGTTAGATGCTTTTATCCAAAGCGACTTACATACTCAATACTGTGGGCAATCCCCACAGGAGCAATTTGGGCTGAAGTTTATCTTTCATGTCGACTTTTATATTTTATGTATATTGTAAATAGTTTTCATTCATATGAACGTCATTAATGTAAAAAGTGTAAATACTTTTATGTACATTACATGTTACTTGTTAGACGCTTTATCCAAAGCGACTTACATACTCAATACTGTGGGGTGAAGTGTCTTGCCCAGGGACACAACGACATGCTGACGGCAGTGGGGTTTGAACCTGTGCTCCCCTGATCCCAACACCAACGCACTGCGCCACAGCCTCCCTGTACATAATGGTACATCTGATTTGTATCCACTTCAGCTTTTTTACCTGTGTTTGTTGTTTCTGTTGCCATCCTTTATACTGAATCAATGAAGGTGAATGGTTGCTCAGAAAAAGCCGCAGTGGGCTAGCTCCGGGACGCCGGCTGGAGCTAGCCCCCTGCGGCTCCGTTAGCTCCGGCGGCCACCACTGGGATAATTGGGTCCCCTATTAACATTTGCTCCTGTTTAGCATTATGGGCGTCATAGCCATAGACTATAAAAGTCTTACCCAAGGCTGAATCATAAACTAAAATGTATATGTATGCATAAAGGGTTACGTCCTTAGCTGGCTAATATGTAGCAAGCTAAGCTACCAAGCACACAAACACCTGCGAACGGGGTTAACATGTATAATATTATCATTTTAGACTTCTTGGAAGTTCTGTTAGTACATTCAAGCGCACAGCACAACATTTTAATCGTCTGGTATTTGTAACAATATTGCCTAAAAGGCACAATCACCACGAACACGGCTAAA